GGAAAGAAATGAAAGGCAGATGAAGCATTTTAAGACTTGTTTTAGTTCAGAACTCAGTTACCGGATGCTGGTGTTCTCTCTGACGTCAGAGCTGGCCAAGCAGGGAAGAGGATTTATAAAATGTTATTTTGTTCGGTCTTGTGGCTGCAAATGTAGAGATTTATCTGTTTTAAGAGACAAATATGATTATATGTATATATTCGTACTTTTATGTCATCTCTCCATCCTATGCAAAATGAGTTCCTTGAGCCAAGTAGAGATTCGGACACTTTGTAGCTCAAAACATTTCCTTGGATTGTTTCCAAGAGAAGCAGGTAGAATTCAGAACTGATAGGAGCTCCATTCCATCCAAAGACGCAGTTACAAAGCATGTTTTGGATGCCAGTTTGTCTTAAAACAGATCCCAGGTCTCCTCACAATATGCTGCTGAGTCACGGATTCTTCAGGTTGCTGTCTGACCCCAAAATCTGCCCTTCTAAAAAGTCTGGTGTCCCCTCACAGGAGAGAAGGGGAAGACAACAGAGTGTTGCCTTCACCAGTGCAGATGTACTGCAAGGAAGAATCTTTAGCTCCAGGAGAGGAAGGTGCAGATATATCAGCTTTTACTGCAAACACTGAAACAGCCTCACTTCTGTTAGAACAGAGTGTCTGTGTGACCAGATTTTTGTCAGGTTTCATAGCTATATAGTTTAGAATTATCTGAAGTTGTAACAGTGTTTTAAGAAGAGGGTTTATGGCAGAACTTGTAGCAAATACTTCTAATACACAAACAAACTGCATTATTACCTTTTTCCTTAAAATGCAGTCTAAGTAACATCCCTGGCAGGAAAATATTTATGGGTTTGAGTCACCTTGATCAGGCTGAGCATATCCATCTTTATTTTCTTTTAAAAAATAAACATGAATTAAATACTGGACACAGGAATAAAAGAAAAGCTAATCTGCTATAACTTGTACCAATCTACATCTTAGTATTTTCTTTAAAAGAGTTATGGCAGCAATCCTTTCTGATTTACTAGATTTCACTGGTGTCTCTAACACTTTTTCTTCTTTGCTATGGTTTCTTCCAGACGATGATCACTGGGTAGTGGACACAGATTATGATACATATGCTCTTCATTACTCCTGCCGCCAACTAAATGCAGATGGCACTTGTGCTGATAGCTACTCCTTTGTGTTCTCCCGGGACCCCAAGGGATTGCCTCCAGATGCACTGAAAATTGTCAGACAAAGGCAGATGGACCTCTGTTTGGAGAGAAAATACAGAGTTATCGCTCATAATGGTGAGAACTTTTTTTTTCTGAAGAATTTTATTCCAGGGTTTAATGACTAAAGCACTGGGATTCTATTGATCATAAGATATCAAATGCATAAAGCCTTTTACTTAGTGGCTGTAACATTGTCTTTTGAAAACTGGAGTTTGTAGTAAGTTATTTCCAACTTTTACTTCCCTTATCTGAAGGAGAGCTGAGGTGCATAGTTTTTCATGCAGCATATCAGGTCAGCTGAAACAGTAATTAGAGGAAGTTGTAAAACAATTAAATCAATGTAGTGTGAGTAAACATATTAAGGATAAACTTCATAGCTATGGTAAAAAGTAATTGGGCAGCTTTTATCACATCTCTTTGTTCAAATACTTTTTTGAGAAATTCTTCAGAAAGGCTTTTAAGGAAAATAAAAGTCTTGGAATGATACCCTATAGAAGACCCTTTCTCACAACTGCTAACTGTTTACAAAGAGCTGTGGAAGAGGGACATAGCCCTCATACTTTATAGAAGACCCTTTCTCACAAGTCCTCATGCTAACTGTTTACAAAGAGCTGTGGAAGAGGGACATAGCCCTCATACTGGAAGCATGATACTACCTTGAGTCATATAGTCAGGCTGAGCTTACAACACAAGGAATTAGCTCTCTTATGCTCAAGTGTAATACAGAAGGCCAAATGGTAATAATCTAGAAGAAATCATAATGTTTCATATGATAAGAATTACACTCAGAGTGGGGAATTTCTCCCAGAAGGAGAAAAATCAAAATATTTAGAACAAATAAAATAGTAGTATCTCTCCCTAGTGTTTCATATGATAAGAATTACACTCAGAAAAATCAAAATATTTAGAACAAATAAAATAGTAGTATCTCTCCCTACTCCCTCCCCACCCCTCACATTCTGGAAGACATGCTATTTCTAAAGACTTGACTGGTGAGTCAGCTGAATGGGAACTCCCAATGTAATGATGTGAGCAAAAGAGTTAATATGATTCTTGAATGTGTAAACCAAGACTCACATGAGATTGTTGTGCTTGGCACAGGTCTAATTGCTATGTCACATTAGGTGACAAGCATAACTGGAAAAAGTATTGAGGATGAATTAGAAGTTTCGAAGAAAAGCAGAGAAAATGATTGAAAGTTTGTAAAATGTGTCCTCTAGTGAGTGCTTTAAAGATTTTAATCTTTTCCTCTTAGGAAGAGGTTAAAGGCTGACCTGAGTAGCCTGTCCTTGTCCACACAAGCAATAGGAATTGGATAGAAAAGGACTTGCACACACAGAAATAATAAATTTAAATGGATGGAACTTTAAACTGGACACATTTAGAGCAGAAATAAACAGCCATTTGTTTAACTCCAAAGGTCACCAACCTTTGGAACAGTTTACCAAGAGCTGTTGTATGTTCTTCATCACTGAAATCTGTAAATCAAGATTAAAGGCTTTTCCCAATGACATGCTAGAACAAACTGGGATTGACTGAAGGAACTTTTGTGTCTTATAAAGAAAGAACAGACGAGCAGAGTCAGCTGTTGTGGCTCTCTTGGCTGTTCATCTGATCCATAAACACAGAGTAATACACTGCTGTGTTGTAAAGTGGTATGCTGATAGCAGGGTGCCTTGAAGAACAGGGTGCCACCTACTCTGCTGAAGTAGGTGCTGTTTACAGTAGTGATCTGGGAAAAGTGCCGACAACAATGAAAAAAAAATTGTCTTGAATGAGAATTTGGAGACAACATAAGTCAAATGGAATCAGCTTCTGGGAATGATTTGTATGACTGCATAAGTGGTAGGATAGAAAATAAACAATGTCCTTATATAAATTTATTATACTTTTCTGTTTTGAATCCTGCATTCCCCTCTTTTCAAATAAAGTCCAGCAAGAATAAAAATTTCTGAAATTGAGAAAGACAAATAATCAAATGTTTAGGATTATTCTATTGAGTCTAAGATAATTTAAAAGTTGATCATGCTTCTTCTTGTTTGTTTTGGATATCAAATATCTAATCTACCAAGTCACACTGTTCTTTGTTTGCTACCCTAATTACACTCAGATGTTAGGTGTTGAGTGCAGCGCCTGACATGACTGTGTGAGTTCTGTAATTTGCAAATGAAAATAAGAGCCTGGGTACCTTTTTATGGCAGAGTTTATAAGCCCAGAACCAAAGCATAAATTGAACTTAAAGCCAGTGATTTGCATTTTCCCCTTTATTGATCAGGACCCTATTACTAGTTGATTCTGAATTCTCCAGTATCATCAAGCCAAAGTTCCTGAAAAGCAAGCACATTTGCGACTGAGGGAATGATTGTGAGCTAAACTGAAAAAAAAAAACTTGGAAGCTTCATATCAGAAACTCTTACAAAAATTGCTTAATTCCTTATGTGTGGATTGGAACCTTTACTGCTTTCATTTTAACTCTGCTCTTAAGAGCTACAGAATTATTTCCAAAACAAACCAACTTCAATCGTCTGCACTGACCTGCATCCCATTGTTACTGTGATAAAATTCTGACTGATGTTAGTAAAGCTGCAAGAATAGCCTGGTATTTGTTGCTAATTGTGCACACTCTGCCTATGTCTGGAAGCTAATTAAGACTTTGTGTGTGTGTGCCTGCTCAACTAATAGATGTACAAAACTTACTTGATTAAAAAAAATTGAAATATCTGTACTGGCTGTTCAAGGCAAAAGAGAAGCCTAGGAAATGAAAGTTTTTTGTTCTAACTTACACTGCATTTATTGTGGTAGCTTCTTCTCAAATACAGCTCAAGCTATGATACAATTAGTGTCTCAGAGTAATAGCTCAAGTAACTTTAAGCTGTGTAATGTCAATAGTGTCAATATTAAAGTGTCAATATTAAGTGAAAGTACTTGTGAATACAGTGTCATGTCAGTAGAGTTGAAAGCTGCATCTGCTGTTACCATTTCTTAGAAGCAGCAATTGAGAAATAGAGTGGTATATTCCTTCTGCTAATTTACTATTGCTATTAGAAGTTTTGGGGGTCAGGAGATTCTTATTTGAAAGACATTCCCAAATTAATTCTTTTTAGGCAAATAATTAGAAGCTTGTTAAAATATAGACTCTCTTAAATCCAGTAAAGATACTCTATCATTGATCTGCCCAGTATGTTGTCTGCAAAACTATTAAAATTCTCAGGAGAGGGTAACAGATTGGATGAATTCCTGTTTTGTTCTGAGTTGAAAATTCCTTAGAATTATAAACTGCGGAGTAAGGTAATGGCATTGTTATTACAAGTAACTGACTGCTGGACTCAAGAGCATTTTATAGAAATTAGATATGCATGCATTTGAAATTTGGTGAAAGTTTGTGTAATTAAATTTTGGGAGTGCTTGACAAACACAACTGTGGTTTGTGTGTTTCAGGATTTTGCTCTTAAGGAGATCCAGCCCTACAGAAAGAAGCCATGTAACAGCACCATGGATGTAAAGTTAACACATTGATCATGTGTTCTCTGGAAAATGCTTTAAATGGGTCCATTTAGATTTTCAATATATTTATCTGAGCTGTGTAGCTCAACTTGTTAATAAACCAATGAAACATTTTAATAAACTTGGATTACACGGAATGCAAATTGTATGCAAATCTGTACACATATACACATTGGTTTCATTAGTAGCCTGTTATCTTAGTGCACTCTTTTGAACTCATGCCTGGTGATAATTAAGAATTTAATCTTTCTTTCTTTAGTGGTTTCAATTTCTGACTAAAAGAGTGTTTATCATAAACTTCCAAGTATAAGTATTTTCTTTTCAACTAGAACATTATATTTTCCCTATAAAATATTAGAAATCATTTAGAAAAGAGAAAGGAATTTCAGTGATCCTACTAATTAACTTTATTATATGACTAATGAAGACATAAAAAAATGCATATTTTAAAAGAACTGTTTTACACATGACAATTAACCATTTATTTATTTATTCTTTACTTGTTAATTCAAATGTATTAAGTCCATATTTTTAATTTGAGATGGAACCAAACTGGTTGAAGTGTTTAATCAAGATCCCTTCAAAACCTGGATTTTTAAAAAAGCAGATACTTTCTGAGGATGAACATTTGCACTAGAAACTTGAAAGTACTTAATTCAACTATTTTACATTCACCAAGTTCACTGCCATATTTCTATTTATTTCAGCAGAAGAGGAGAATTCAATCCCTTAAATTAAATTGTCCAAATCTTACTGGGGCAAAGCAGTGAAGTCAAGAGCATTTTACCTGCAAGAATTAAAAATACATTTGTTTTTTTTCTTCCTCCTCTGGCATGTAATACTATAACATAATGACCTATGTGACCTGGGATAGTATAGACAAAATCCAAAGTGTGGCACAGCTCAGACTTTAAATAATTATCTGGTAATGAAAGACAAATGTGGCTGTTCATGGTTGCTTCTTCTTGCAGTGGTTTCTGTACCTGCTCCATGCCTTTCAGGGTTCCCTGTACAACAGAGAAGAATTTGCTGACATTTACGTCTGAAATGGGCAACATTATACAGAATTGGATTGACAGCAGAGTTGGCAAAAGTGAATAATGCTATCCAGAAGAAAACTGATGGCAAAATATTTAAATCTTTTTTGAAGTTCTGAACTAAAATTAAAAAAATAATTACTATTATTGGAGTCCACATAATGAAGAAAGAGATCATCAACAGAAAAAGGGCTCTGAATAGTTTGTAGTCTTGCTGGGAAACACGAATCTGATGATGTTCTGGGTAGGCTAAACCAGCATTTAAACTTCTTCTTGATGCTTTTGTAATCTGCAGTAAAAGAGAAGAAAGCAACTTTCACTAAAACATATTTCTACAAGTGAAAACATAAATCTTGGCACATGATGTTTTCTTTTGGAAAGTGACTACAAAAAACCACATTGCAGAATTCATTTGTACTTTTTGTCCATGGTTCCATTTCAAATGTTCTCACTTCAATAGCAATTCTTTTTCCTCAGCTGTGAATTTATCTCATTGGGCAAAGTGCTTGTTCTTTTCATGGCTCTCTACCAGTCACAAATGCTTTTCAGCATAGAACAGTCTTAATTACTCATGAAATCCCATTAAATTCAAATTATGACCTCATTTGTTCTATCTAAAGAAACCCATTGATTTTTTTCACAAATGCAAACTGGAACATAGTTAACAATCCTGTTGATGTGCAAGAAGGAAGATGATTCAATTCACTTATGGCCATGCTGATATTATAAGGTAGGTATTAGAAGGAGCATAAATTTATTACAATAAATTATTTTAAATGTGAATAAGATTGTGCATTGTTTTATGTCACACTTAGCTTTTCAGACAGTAATCACAGTTCCTTTCTATGAAATCTTACAGATCCTTTCAGTCACTATAAAAATCTGTGTCTTTTAAAAGTACTCTCTGATGTAATAAACTAGACTATGGGTAGCTTGGAAATCTAGTATTGATAGGTGTGCATTGTCTCTCATTAGGTAGAATGTTGGACCCAGTGGGCTTGCAGAAAACCTGAAATCCTCAGCTCTACATCCCTGTCTTCCCTGAAGTTGGCATGGCACAATTAAGTTTGTTACATTTATACCTCTGATGCAAATAAAATAAAATGGAAATATATAGCAAAGATTTGTGCTAAATAACTGAGATGCCACTTTATCTCCTGCATGCATAAGGAAGGGGTGTTTTCAAAAACCCTGATCAATCAAGGCTTGATTGATCAAGGCTTTGATCAATCCGTAGCTGTCTACATAGGAAAGTCAAAAGGTAAGGCTGCACCTGCCACTTTTCCCTTTAGCGGAAACTACAGGAAGGATAACACTAATACTAGCAACATTTTAACTTCCTGATGTAGGTAAGGCTGAAAATGTTTAGAGAGAGAGAGAGAAATTTGTCATTCTGTTAGCAGTTTTCTGAATTTGTCAAGGAGATAAATACTAATTAAGAATCTAGACATCTTCTAAATATTTCAATAGAATGTAGGTGTATTAATCAAATTAAAACCCATGAACCAAAAGTGGGTTTCTTAGCAGCTTCTGAGGCTGAGAAGGGGACAGTATCACTAGCTGCTTCCCTGATTTAAAAGGAGCAGAGAATTCTGATGTCCTGTGCATGTAAAACTACGCCAGCTTGATGATCTTCTGCTGTACAATCTGGAATTCAGAAACGAGGTTAACTCCTCCAAACAGTCCAAAACCAAGAGCTGTTCTCAGAGAGTGCCTAACCTCTCTCAGTAAGAATGAAGGTTTCACAAAATGCAAAGGACTAATATCCACTTCTAATATAAAAGTAGGAAAACTGGGTTGTGTGCACTTCTCAGTCTCCACTGTTTAAAACTGCTACAGAATGTCCTCATCAGATACATTTTTATCTGTCCCATATAAATACCTTCTGTCTTTCCTACAGGAGCTGCACAGCCTAGAACTAAGAATGCAAGAGTCACCAGGACTGTAAATAAGACACAACTGCTTCTTAAGAAAGAGTTCAAGATAAATGGGATGGCAGTGGTATGTTGTGGATCTCTTTTTGGTCTGCCCAGTATAGACACCTGTCCTTGGCATCTGGACCACACTTGGACAAACAGGAACTTAGAAGTCATATATATATATAAGCATGTAACTTCCAGAACACAGACATCTTCCCTAGCTCTAGCCTCTGACAATGGAAAACCAAATAAATTACAAATCTATCTATCTAATCTATCATTTTTGCCAGGGTTCTGGGAAGTGTTATGTAACAATAATAGTTTCAGAGTAAATTGTGAAGTACACATTTGCAGTAGTGTATATTTGTTAAAAAAATTTCAGGTCTTGTATCTGTAGTCAGTCCTCATCATCCTCATCATCATCATCAATGTTGTAACATGAATACATGACTGCTTGGCACTGCTTTCAGCAATACTGAGAATCATGCTACCTGTGTACTGGCATAACGGAGCACTCTCACAAAGTGAGAGTCTGCTCTTGGGAATGACTTAGGGATTGAGACATTCTCCAGTTCAGTTCTGTTCAGTTCAGCTTGCTTCCTGGAGAGAGAGAAGATTCAATTATATCTTGCTATGGGCCTCAAGCCTTCCTCATTTCAGCAGAAATGGTAATGTATTTTAGCATCTCTCTTAGCAAGTTAGAAACGAAACAGGAGCAGAGCAGCACGGGCATGTCTTGTAATCCAATATTTCTGCTTTCGGTTTCCAGCTCCCTATGTGCCATTTTGTTTTATAAATTTACCTGTAATCTGGGGTCTGCAAGGACAGGACTAACAAACAGCATTCCTGTCCTGGCCTCTGACCAAGAACTGTGGCATTTCTTGGCCTGCGGTGTTTTGCAGTTCTTTCAAAGGACTCGCTCTCCAGTGAGTTACTCTACACTTTTTGCCAATGTGTATGTGGTTGCAAGTGCTTTACTTCACTAGAAGAGGTTCACCTAATGCATCTACCTCAAGGTTATAGTGAGTTAATAGACAGTACAGAAACTACAGGCTGATGACTTTTACTACAAGTTTAAGTTTGATCAACAGGCAAGGATATGTGGAGACCAGATTCTATGTCCTAGGTTCCTTTCACACCTACATCCAGCATGTACATCCACAGCCCATTGGTGCTCAGCATTTCATCAGTTAACTCCTTGCTCAATAATCTATGTATGTTGAGGTTCCTTTCCAAAACCTATAATTTTCTTATATATGTTTTAAGAAGTTTAATTACCCAATAAAGGAAGCAAGGATCTTGTGGGTGGTTGTTAAAAACTAGACATTGCAGTGACTAGTTTGAAGTGCTTGGTTTGAAGATTTCTAGATCTTTGTCACTGTGGTTTTGGATAGTTTAAAAGGAAATTAGATGCTAATATAATGCTTGCTAGACTATAGGTTAAAACTCTGTGGTGCTGGGTGGCTTGGCTTATATTTCAGCATATATGTTAAACATCATCGACTTAGAAAGAAAGTGGAAGAAGATGGTTTAATTTACAGGTTTTGTTTACAATATTTGAAATTGTGGAGGATTAAGTATAATCTAATGAGATCTGTGTACTAAAGACACATGCAGAAAGCCAGTAGATCAAAAAGTGGATGGGGTTTTTTTCTAGTCCTGCCTTTCTCTGCTTTTTTACCAATCCCTTATGATGAATTTAGGCTCAAGGAAAGCAAAAATCTAGTTTTTAGTTATTTCAAATGCTTGACTATTTCAGCATTTAGGAGACTGACAGTCTTTAAGTATGAACAGCACATAAATGAAAAAGTGGATTTAATACTATACATAAGAAGAAAAACCATGTGTTGGGCCTCTGGAAATGTGCTGTTGAAGCATGTTCTTAATTGAAGTATACAGGGTGTTATATGCAGGTTGAAATACCCCTCATATCACATACTTATATTATTGAACAAATTATGTTTGTTCCCTTTACGTGTATTTGTATTTAGTGACAATATGCTGATGCCTAGTGAGTTACTTTCTTTTACAACAAAATTTAAAGGAAAAACATACCTGTAAGATTTTGGAGTAACTGATGACAATGATTAATCCTGGTATCAGAAAGAAAATAATGGCAAAGGTTGTATCCCACACTGTTTCTCCTGCAGGGCTGGGCCAATCCAGAGTGCAAATGTGAATGTCCTATTTGTAAAAAATTAAGAAGAAAAGTAATAATGTACAATTATTTTCAGTACAGCATTGTTCTTATCTCCCTCTATGCTTAAAAAATGGCTGAACCAAGATGAAACTAAGACTGTGAAAGCTTTCTATTTAGACAAAGCAGTCAAGTAATATATTATTTGATGGCTTTAGAAGCCCATACAATCACAAATAGATATGTCCATCACTGGCATACTTCCATTGATTTCTTATCAAATGGTAATGGCAACTTTAAAATTGAAACTTACAGACCCTAAACGTAATAACTTATTCAAGTGTCATGTTAGGCGTGCTTTTGTATGCATTTCAAAATATTAGGCAGAAAAATCTGTGCATGGCCATTTTGTACAGAGAGGGCTGTGGGTGCAGGGCAACTCTCCCAGGATGCTGATCCCTCGGTAAAGGGAGGTGAGCTGAAAAGGAGATCTCTGAGCCGCACTGAGGAACGCAGAGAGAATCTCAGCCGATGCGCGGTTCCCACCTAACGGGACGGTCCGCGGGGAGAGCGGGCCGGGGGCTGCCGGGGGAGCTCCGGGCACAGCCTCGCAACTGCCCGGCACCCAGAGCCCTGCAGGCGAGCTCCTCGCTGCCGCTGTCTCGCCGCGGCAGAGGCGGGCGAGCCTCCACCGCCGTCGGTCCCGGCGCCCCCCGGCCCGGCCCGGCCCGGCCCGGCTGCCGCGGGCGCGCCCGGCGCTCGCCCTCACCTGGCCGGCGGGGGCGGGCAGCCGCACCACGGTGAAGAAGCAGCAGAGCGGGAGGGTGGCGAGGGCGGCCAAGCCCCAGATGAGGAGCAAGGCGGCGGCCAGCACCTTGCGGCGGCGGAGGGCGGCGTGGCGCAGCCGGGCGATGCTGACGACGCGCTCCAGGCTGACGGCCGACAGGGAGAGGAGGATGACGGTGCCGCTCAGGCTCACCACATAGAAGAGCAGGTGGCAGACGAAGTTGCCCAGCACCCAGGACTCGGTCCAGCGCACGACGGCGATGAAGGGCATGGCAGTGATGAAGAGCAGGTCGGCGCAGAAGAGGTTGAGGACGAGGCAGTTGGCGGCGCAGAGCCGGCGGTGCCGCCTCACCAGCAGGCAGATGCCCCAGATGTTTCCCGCCAGCGACAGCAGGAAGATGAAGGCCAGGGCAGAGGACTCGCCGATGCGCAAGGCCGTCACATTGTGGCCCCTGAAGTCCGAGAAGAAGGGGAAATAGGTCTTGTTCCCTCCTGGTGTGCCCCTGGACACGAGCATGAGGGTGGCCAGAGGGCATGAGAGACCCACCGGGGATGGTGGCACCAGCCCTAGGGCAAGGGCTGCGCTCCCAACCACCAGGGCGGCACCTGGGGTGTCCTCCCAGCACAGAGGCAGGGGATGACCGCCATCCCCTCCCTCCTCTTCCTCCTGCCCCTGCTACCAAGGGCTCAGCCGTGCCAGCTGGGCGGTTTATGGCCCTCGCACTGGAGTGGAACAAGGAAGTGGGAGAGTAAACACGGTGGAGCTCACACAAAGGCGAGGCCGCAGTGCGTGGGGCGGCCGTGAGGGGCTGCCCGACGCCTCCCTGGGCAGGGTGTGGGTCAGCACGCTGCCATCTCCATGCCCAGGCACCCAGGCCCAGCCTCCTCATCTCGGCTCTCCAGGCAGGCCCTGGCAGTGCCAGTGACCTGGGAGGCCACTCAGTCTGCTCCCATCCAATGGGGTATGCATGGCTTAGAAACATGGATGGCTGCCACACCACTCTGAGAGCTCTCCTCAGGAGCCTTGGATGACCAGACTAATCTAGGGTAAGAAAAAAAAATAAAAGAAAAGAAAAATCTAGGGTAAGAAAAAAGAAAATTACCTATCACCTCCTGTATTGACAGTGGCATTTGGGAACAGCAGATGTGTGCATTGCTTGTCCTAACTGTGGAGAAGTGTCACCAACATGATTTTGGGGATCTGTACAAAATTCATCTAGAATCAAGCCTGTGTTATGAGTTCATGTTGGAGAAGCCTGTTAAAGTAAGACAAACATAGAAAATACCTTATTTTCTCTGAACTTCAATTACTACTAGAAGCAGTTGCTCAGATTGTAAATGAAAGTAGGGCTTTCCACTTAGGCTCTTCACTTCAGATGATTTAGAAATGAGCTGGGAATGAAGCATGTAAATTGTCACAGACAGGTGGATAATGTCTCATAAAATAAGATAAAATGTTTTCATAAAGTATGTAAACAGTCGTATAACTTTAAGCTGGGTGAATTCATTTGGCTGAGTGCCAGTGCAGGCGCTCAAGGGTGCACTTAGAGGCTCAGCGTGTGGACCTACAACATTTGATGAGGTGAGAGTTATTCCACGTGTGTGCAGTACAAAACTGGTGTGCCACGGGGAGCAGGTGACGGGCAGTGCTTCTGCAGTACCCTGGGTGTGACCCTGCCATCAACCATTTATGCAACGGCATTAGCGGGGATTCCAGATTAGTGGGGATTCCAGAAACTTGGTCCTTTGAAGGGGCAATCTGCTAATGAGGGATGACAAGAGTGACATCTCTCCTGGACTGCTTCCCATATCTTTGCCTCTGCAGAATTTGCATTTATTTAAATTAGCAATTATTTCAATTAGTGGTTCTAACTATCTATGCCATCTCATCAAACAAGGAGTTTGCAGGGCAGCCTAAACAGGTGTATGAAATGCTCCTGGCTCCTACTGATGGATGACTGCATGAAATGTGGGCATAATTTATGTTAAGGGGATGGGCTGTGAACTCAAGTGAAGACAATAAAAAAACTTGGAAAGATTGGGTCTTTTTTCAGCAAGCAACACAAGTGACTGGCAAGTCTCTCAATATAGATACTTTATTCTATGTCATTTGATGGGAGAAAAAATATCTGCATCCATATTGCAAAAATTTCAATAAATTTAATAGACCTAGCGATTTTTTATTAGCATTTATGATGAGTGCTTGGCATATCTAGCCACAATTTATGTTGGCTCTGCTATGAACTGATTCTTTAAAATGATTACTGAATCTTGAAATACAGCAACACCTTCTAGTTGCCACAACCTCACATACCTGGGACATTTTACATGCTGACAGACTAGCCCCAAGGTTCTGGACAGGTGGCAGTAGCAGTGGTGTTGTCAGCTCTAAATAATGGGAGGGATTTGGGAAAGAGCTATTGTTAATAGTCTGGTTGTGCTTCTGTGAAAGCTTGGGAGGCATTAACAGGACAGAGGGAGTAGAGGTGAGGCAGTTGGAAATGCAGATAAATAAATGCATTTAATTTATTATAATAATATATAAATGCATATTTTATTATTAATAAAATCTTTAGCCCCTTTGACATTAGTGGAAAGTCAAATTAGAAACTGACCCTGTCAATTCAGAGTAAAAGTAAAGATATTTGAAACAATATAGGAAAAAGGAAACAGGGAGTGAAACGTACAAAGCTGCCTTATTGAAGAAAATAAGATACTTTTAGTCAGGGAGGAAAGGAATGCCAGAGGAGAAGAAGGCTTGAAGATGAGATGATGTGTGAAAGTGTCTGGGTAGATCTTTGATCTTTAGAAAGGACCACCTTCAGCTTTGGTCCTTAGGTATGGGTTACTTGGCATAAGCCTGTTGTTTGCTCAGGAGAATGAAAGTAAAGTGCTGCTTTTAGTATGCTGCTAATGAGTGAACTTCACACTAACCTCTGTACAAAATCTTGTGCCTGGGGACAGCAGAGGTGTGAAGAAACATGCTGGTTTCCCTCAGATTTGATCAAACAAGGGGGGGCTCCTTGCAGGAGCAAAAATAGTCTCATTACTTATGGGTCTAATGGATCCATTACCTAAAAGAGTAACTTTCTTTTCCCTCCCATGAGGTATAAAAGTTGTATTTGCTGTTGGGTAGGTCTAATCATAGCAACCATGACAACATGAAATGTGAGGAAGAGAGGAGTTGTAATCCCCCATGGAGCTACTCTGGCTTTACTGTAATAGGTGGATGCTGTGCGTGGTATGTGCACCACGTGCTCATGACAAGGAAGTGATTACCAGAATGCCTGGAAACCTGTTATGATTGCTTAACCTATATAATTTTTTTAACCTATGTTTGCTTTTATGCTCAAACATGGAGTCAGCTCAGATTTCATTGCTCTAAGTTAAATGAAAGCTGCAGAGACCTCTGTGGAGGTGGTTTGTCTAACCTAGCAGGGAAAAATCTTGTTTCCTTTTTCGTGGGTGTTTTCTTCATCCCTGAAATGAAAGCCTAAGGTTTGGCCTTCTCTGTTTCAGATAAGGGCTGTGTTACCTGATACCATTAGTCAAGCTCTGCTTTTCAGATTGTTCCCCTGGCAACCATGAACTGTCGTGACAGATGGGGATCGATCAGCTTATTTATATCTTGAGCATTAAGAAATATTCCCAGAGAAAGGGACCACTTAGTGGGTGACTCTGGGAGATGGGAGCTCATGTTCCATTTGGACATGATTTAGTAGAGGTTTTTGCCTTATTTACGCATCTTCTTGCATGTAGATTGGTGTTTTAAGTCTTTGGGTGTATTTTTGTGCACCTGTATCACACTAGGTAAATACCACTGACTTCTGTAACAGATGTAATGCACATTTAATGTTTGCTAAGTGATGTAAATTCATTTTATTAGAAAGGTTGCCTCTTTGTCTTCACAAGAGAGGTTGCAAGCTTGTAGATGACTCATGCATCTGCACAATAAGATTTTTATCATAAGTTTCAACCAAGGTGAGCTTTCTGTTTTTATTTTTGCTCTTGCATATCACACTACAGCTGTTCTGCTTCTAGATACTATGAATCCTGCACTTAGAAGATGTTATACCATTGTAAGGTATGTTTCAAATAGAAGTCTGTTTTGATTTATTTTCTTTTTTAGGAAGTTTTCTAACTGCTCACCCATTTTATACTTTCATATCAGTGAGCCAAAGGACTTACACCAATGTGTGAGGGACAATTTTAAACTTTTAGTGCAAATGTAAATGCATCAGTTTGTTTAGATACAGTAGCAAGCTCACACATTCCTGTGTCCACTGAAAATAACCAGATGCTTCACTTACCATGTCAAAAATGAATCCCTGTTTCTTCTGGGAAGTCTCATTTTGCTGTGATCAGTCCCCATTAGAAGCTGGCACGCTTCCTGGGGTAAGTGCCTGTGGCAGTGGTTTCAAGCTGTAGCAGCAACATTGCTGACCAAGGCCTCAGCCAAAAGCAGAGCTGCCAATAATACTGTTAGATGTGCCTTCTAATAAAAGCTGGGTCAGCTTCCAGTCATCAAGACCACCAGAAGTTTGCCAGCATCCACATTGTGGCTTGCAGTGAGGAAGGGATTTCTCTCTGAACAAGCATAAATTGAGAACATAATCCACATAACACAGACTTCCCCTGGATGGTCACATTTATTGTTTTGCTTCATGGTAACCAAGCTTCACCAGAGTGACTCAGCTCCAGCTAAACTCTTACAACTAAATGAGGTTGTTTCTTAACAGTCTTAGAAACTCTATTACACTTACACATCTAGCCCATGGATTTAAGGAGTTTATCTGTGAATACAGAGTATCAGACTGGTTTGTTTGGACATTGCAGGATGTGGTAGAACACTCTTACCAAGGAACTGAGACCCTGTTTTTTTGCAGAGTTGGATATTAAAGTGCCACTGGATCTTTGCTTAACTTTCAGGTGTGCATAAAGTTACTTCCATTCCTGCTAATGAGCTTTGATGTAAAGACATCAAAACAAAAGCTGTGGTGAATGTCTGAAGGATTTACAAATTAAACTTGTCACCAGCCTCTCATGCTCAGGAGATGTGCCCAGACATTCCCTGAACACTGCTGGGTTGTATGGTATGCAGAGATCACAGACACCATTGTTTCCTCTCATTGTCAAGAGTCCAGTGATTAGAGAATGCTCTTATTCGTGAAGTTTGAGGAGAATTGTCCCTTTTCTTTCCCTGAAAGAGTAAAATCTTAGAAGGGTAACTTGTCGGGAAGAGCCGGCGTTCTTCAGCTCCAAATTGGGATAGCAGTTTTACTTTTAAAAGCCACATATTTCTGAAGGAAGGTCTACAGTGCCTGTCTGCTACAAAGATTGTATATATTGTCAGGCTTCTCCTTAGCTAGCATTAAGCTAGGGTTGGAGAAACAGAAAAATCAATCTTACAAAAGCAATGAAAGTTCAAATAATGCTTTAAATTCTGCTGTAACCTCTTCTGCCTTTCCTAATGTAATGGTGATCATGTTATTTCCCACACTGTTTATGGTTTTCATTATCAGTGGCCATTTTAGATGACTGATAAGATGTGACTTGGAGCTTCCCATAAATGAGTCTGGAAAGCATATATGCCTTAATTAGGCTGTAGAGTTTTCTGTCTAGCTACATGAGATAATACTGACCCTATT